CCCGCCGGGGGCCGGAGGGGCTGAAGGGGAGCCTTCATGCGGGGAGCTGGCGCGGCGGCTGCTGGGGCGGGCAGCATGTGCCAGACCCGACCCGGCCTCGGCTTTCTGCACCCAGCGCTCAAAACGGAGAGCGACCGCTCCAGCCGCTCATTCCTACGGATGCTCGACTCAACAGCAACCGCTCCGTGGGACACGAGGGAAAAAAAGAAAAGCGCGTGTTTGTTAGCAGGGCTGGGGCTGACTCCCCATGCGACTTTCAGCACCATCACCACAGGCTCCAGCAGCTCCCGGCTGTTCCCGCTCCCGGGCTGGTGGGGCCGTGGGTTCTGTGCTGGGGTCAGATGGCCACAACTGGGTGCCGAGCACGTCCAGCTCCCGCCACTGCTCCCCATGGGAAGTGTGCCCACGCGCTGCAGCGCGACCCAAGCCCAACAACAGCAGCACGTGGTTTGACACGGGCACCTTCTCACTCCAGTGAGGCACTGGACATGGCACTGGAAGGCCACGGGGCATTTCATGGTATCTGTAATTTTGATTCACTTTATCAGCTGAATTCCTATCTTGAGGTCTGCCTTGCTCGCACATTCTGATGTGTTGCCTAACGAGAGCAGTAGATATAGTGAAGATCCAAGATATTTTTCCTTACAACCCCTGCCATATCTCAGTCGTGTGTTTACAACCTACAAGCAGTACAAATATTAGAGGAGAAGACTGTAAATCTGAAGGAACGATTTCTACTTGGTCCTCTCACAGATAATGCCATCAGACTGCACATACGTCCCTTCCCTTTTCTCAGGAGGACTCGTTCAGAAGTACAGAGTGGAAATGGTTAATGTGTTTTTTCAAAAGTTCTTCCCCCCACATCATGATTTTGTCAAAACAAAGCTTTTTCTTATTCTTTTTTTTTTTTAAATGGTGGCCATTTGGCTAAATTAAAATGTTGACAAACATCTTCAGGATAATGCAAGAAACCAATGACCTCACTCTGTTTCATCTCAAGTTTCCTTTTACTTTGGTATTTCTTTGTAGTCTGTCATACGTTGATTTGTGCTTGGCTGACTGAGTGCACACTTTTTAATGAATGATGTTGCCAGTAACATCATCTCATCTACTGGCGTTTTTAAATACAATGCGTGACAAACCATATTGAAAACAAAGGTTCTGAAGGTTGTTTTTCCTTTTTACATATTCTTCCCTATTTGTGCTCTGTGATTAACACTCATGTTCTATTTTCATCTGATTAAAAAGGAAACAGAATTATGAAATATCTTGCAGTGGGCAAGTGGTGGAAATGAAGTTGACCGGCTGGTTTTGTGCACGCCAGTTAATGCTAATCTCCGATCAGATCTGTTCTGTGAGTACTTCTTCAATTTTTCCTACACTTTAAGGCCAGTCTGCTTTAGGTGTACTATCAAAACAACGGGCGGGACTGAAACTCTGCCGGGGAGAAGCGTGTGCCTTTTTATAAGCGCACAGTTCCAGGCGAATTCCCAAGGGAAATCAGCAGCTGCTGCCCGAGCGCCCGGCCGCCTCGTGGGGCACCTCGGGAGGGCACAGGCTGAAGGCCAGTCTGCTTTAGGTGTACTATCAAAACAACGGGCGGGACTGAAACTCTGCCGGGGAGAAGCGTGTGCCTTTTTATAAGCGCACAGTTCCAGGCGAATTCCCAAGGGAAATCAGCAGCTGCTGCCCGAGTGCCCGGCCGCCTCGTGGGGCATCTCGGGAGGGCCCAGGCCAGGGGGATCCAGCGGTGCTGAGCGCACTCGGGGGGTCTGGGGTGACCTGGGGGGTCTGGAGAGCACTGCGCCTGCAGGGTGGCCAGTCCAAGGCAGCAATTACTCTCTGGGCTCCCTGAGGGGCTGGGTCTTACCCTTCTTCAGTAAAATGTGTGGCTGCGGGAAGCATGCCGTGCTGTTCATCCCCTAAGAATGCCACCAGGTGCTAAAGCTCTGGGCAACCCTTCCCCCCGAAGCTGACAGCGATTCCAGCCCCTCTCCTGCCTGCCTGGGGCACACAGGCTCCGGATCGCCAAGGCAGGGACAGGGGCTTTTTCCAGGCAGGAGTTTCTAAATTGCCTGGTACAGCAAAGCAAGGCTCTGATCTTGATTGCAGTCTCTGGGTTCTGCTGCAATAGAAAAGCCGATGATGCTAACACTTAGCATTTATATAACACTTTAAATCTTCAAAGCACTTTCCAAATACTAATTCATCTGTGGAACGCCCCTCGGGCAAAGCATCACCCCCACTTTACATGGAGAAAACCAGGAGACGAGGCCACACAGCATATCAATGTCCAATTAGGGATCAGGATGTGAGGCTTTCCTGGTTGTCCACTTAACACTCAGACCATCCCATTGAACTTTATGATCCGCCACCGCCTCTCCCTTGCAATGCGTCTCGTAATTGGGGTTAAAAAATAAAGGCAGAGCTAGAGAGTTGCTCGTCCTTCCCTTTCATTTAAAAAGTCTCTGTCTGATGCCGATGTTGTAATTAACTCCAGGCTGGATGCAGTGGGGTGCCTGGTCTGGAGGACGCTGATCCTTGGGCAGCAGGCAGCCCTGTTGCATGGCCGTGTGTTGCCTGCTGCCTGCAGGAGCCCTCTTTGGCTTACCAGTGGAGGGATGCCTTGTACCGAAGGGATGAAACCGCTGAAATACATATTGTTAGAGTCTTTTAATCACAGTGTTTTATCATGAAGCTGGACATTGGGAAACAATGCTGAGAGCAGAAATAGTTGTTCTGCTCTGATGTGCCTGTCCTCGCCTCGGTGCCAAGTAGCTGCACACACGTGTCTCCCCAGGGAGCTGCATCCTTTGGCTTCCCCCCCTCCAAAGTCGACTCAGAAAAGAGCTCAAATGGATCCCAAACCAAACAGCAAATACACTTTGTCCCCATCGTTCCGCAGGAGCTGTGCTGTCCAGTGAGCGCTTCTGTGCACCCGGACAACGTCAACGCCGGGGACAGGCTGAGTGTGCCCAGCCTTGCAGGAACTCGTCCACGCGCTCTTCCGAGGAGAAGGCTTGCTGTTATCGGCACACAATGAGTGATCGAAAACAGACCCTGTCACTCCTGAGAGCACGGAGGGTTTACGGCGGCATTTCTTGCTGCTGACTCTCAAGGCTTGGCGAGATGTGCCATGGTGAGAAGCGTGAGGTTTGTTTTCTCCAGGCTGTCACGGCAAGTGCCTTGTGAGAGCCTCAGTCTCTCCCACCACCTCGCTCTAAACCTTCCTCCGCTTGGTTTCTCTGGGAGAAAATCGGACAGATTTCTGTGTTTACCTGAGCACGTGCAGCTCCTCCTCCCGCTTTGACCACCAGCTCACAGCTGTGAATTTCCAACGCATAAAGACACTGGTGAAAAAAGTATTGCTTTTTACCAGCTTTGAATTTCACATATTTTAACATTGTTGGCTATTGCCAGTTCTGGTGGTTATGAGACACTAACATACAAACAAGCTTTGCATCTCTAGATCACAAAGAGCTCCATGAAGTTGGATATAATTACTCCCATTTAAAGAGGGGGAA